TTAATATTATTGTTATTATCATTATTACTATTATTATCATTATTGTTATTACTATTATTATTATTATTACCTTCATTATTCACTGGTCAAATAAGTAAAAACAAGTAAAATTTTTGACACAAATAAACAGGAAGATTTACAAATAGGCAGGAAGATTTGTGGATAATATGTAAATAGGCAAAGAGATTTATAATGATATATAAATAAGCAGGAAGATTTGTAGCTAATTCGTAAATAGGCAAGAAGATTTGTAATTAATTTGCATCAAAAATTTTACTGATTTTTGATTATTTAATGTGTAATCACTATTATTACTATTATTATCACTATTATTATTTTCGCTATTTTTATTTTTATGATTATTATTAATTTCATCAATTTTATCATTATTTTTATAATCATTATTAATCTCATTACTACCATTTTCTATATCATTATCTAAATATACAAAATTTTTACCACTTTTACTTTTTCCATTTATTCAATCATAATCAAAAATATATTTATCTTCTAAGTCATTCCAAGAGTTTAATATTCTACAACATTTAAATAAATATTATATAAGTATTGAATCAATTTTATTCTATGAAATTTTTATTTATTATATAATTAAATTATATACAGAATGTTGTATATATCTAATTAAAGTTAATTTTTTTATTTCTTCAGCCATTCAATCATTATAATACTGGTAATACTATAAAATTCAATAATTTTAATTTAATAACTTCAAATTATTAAATAAAATTATTAAATAATAAATAAATTTAATAAAAAATAAATTAATAGAATAAAAATATCTTATTTTTAAATAATTTATTAATGCTTATATCAAGTGGTTGTAATTTACTTATTAGACTATCAAAAATAATAATCAAATTTGTATTTTTTTTATCAAATCTATTTTTTACAGAATCTGTTAAATAAAATAAATCTAGCATAAGTAATAAATAAAGATCAATAGATTTTATAGTCGTTGATTTCAGATATTTTCAATCTATCAAATTATTTCATCTAAATTCATATATCTCTTTCAATTTGTATGAATTATAATACTTGATGAAAAAATTTGTCATGAAATATTTACAAGTTTAAAAATTATCAATGGTGATAATTTTGTATCATCTGTCATACAAGAAAGTATTATAGTAAAATTTGATTTTTTGTATTCTGTAGTATGTATGCTAACTGTTCTAGAACCTGTTTCTTTTACTGTCATATTATTAGGAATATCAAAAATCAAGAGTGTTTTATCTATATTTTCAATTAAACTTAAAGAATAATTATATTAAATATGGTGATAAAGAATAAAATTTAAAAATTTATGCTATTTTTCTATTAAATCTTTTGATAACCTTTATGTTATTGTTGTACAGCAGTGATTACTAAGTTTATAATGGTATAAATACCTCTAATCATTTATTATTCCATTTGCATTTTAATATATTAGAATATATTATAGTTATTGCAATTTTTTAAACAAAATTTTAACTTTTTCTTGTATTATATAATATGAAATCACTTTTTGATTAGAGTACAAAGATTTAATCCATTTGAAAATTCGATTTCAAGTATTGGATATCAAAATTTTACACCAGTAGAAAGTTTTTTAATATGTAATTTTATCAATAAAAATTATTCTTTTTTGTTGAGCCAGTCTCTTAATTGTTTAGATTCCATATTAAATTTTACTGCTACATTATATTTAAAAGTTTGAGAATTTCTTTTAAAGAATATTACTATTGTTAACTTTTCTCTTACATTTCAACTTCTCTTTTTTTTATTTGTAATTTTTGCTTATTTTAAAAGGTTTTAGTTTCAAGACATTTTATTTGAAAAAAATTTTAATGCATCTTGATATATACAATATATATAAATATTATATAAGAAAACTATGATTTATACTCTCTGAATGAAAATCCATATTAAGCAAAATACCTTTCTTTATATAAAATATTTTCCAGGTACAACTCAAGTTTTTGAAAGGTAGGATATAAGATATCTAGAACTTTTGACTAGTGAATTATGATAATGTTCTAATACATTATTTGAATATTTCATATTTATAACATATTAAAACACAATATTTTAGTGTATTATTTAAACATTTTATACTTATAATATACTAGAACACCTCTATATAATTCCTGATGAAATTACTATTTGGTATAGTGATTTTTTTATATTTGACTAGTACTATTTATAAATTACTAATTGAAATTTTACATATTTGATATCAAATAGGAATAATATTATTTTTAATATCAAATATATATCAGGTATTTAATATGTAATCAATATGGATAAAAAATATTTTTTATTTATATCAGATATGAGATGACATTACTTTTACAGATCAAATACAAAAGAATAAGTAACATAAAAAAGAATTTTTATTTTAGCTAATTTATAATATAAAATATAATAGAATAATCTGGTCTATAATATAGAGATTTCAATTTTTAACTAATTTATAATATAGGAATCACAGTGATTGTTTTGTACTCTATCAGATATCAGATATACAATATATAGTAAAATTTTAATCAATAAATCTTCTTGCCTATTTGTACAAGTCTTCTTATTTATTTATATATTATCTAAAATCTTCCTGTCTATTTGCATTTTATCTACAAATTTCCTTATCTATTTACATCAAAAATTTTATCTATTTTTCTTTATTTGAGCTTCAAAAATCAAAAAAGTTCAAAGTTCAAATTATTTTTATCAATTCAAATTATTTTTAACATTTCAAATTATTTTTAACATTCCAAATTATTTTTGCAAGTTCTTAATATTTGATATTTTCATTTTTAATTAATTTGATTTATACTGGTTCCAAAGTATAAACATGAAATTAAATTTTTATATAGATAAATCCAAAGATTTAAATATCAAATAATTATTATTTATAAGAATATATTCAACCAGTGATATTGTAATTAATAAAAGAAGATATAGATTAAAGTTTGTAAATGAACAATTTAAATATTATTTATGATAAAATGTTGTTTATATTATATATATTTTAGGCTCTAAAAGTTTTTTGCATAAATTTTCTCTTGTAAAATTAAGAATAAAACTTATCTGTTAAAGTATAGAATTTAACCATAAAAAATGAAAATAGGAATTTTTTTTCTTTATAAAAGGAAATTGAAATTACTTTTTTTTTTTTGTTATACAAACTCTTTTGTTTCAATATATTCAGTAGTTGTTTTTTTACTCACATGGGAATTTGAACATATTTTCTAAAATTGATATAATCTTTCCTTTTTTTTTTGTAAACGAACTCTCAATCAAATATCATAAAATCCAAAAAAACCAAGATTTCGAAAGTTTACATTTGCAGAAATTATTAAACATTTGTAGAAGAGTTTGTACTATTTTATTATCCGCTTTTGTATATTTTGTTTTCAAAAGATTCTTTTGGAAACTTTAGTCATTAAAAATATAGAAAGATTATTCTTTATTATTATTTATTGATTTTAATTTTGTAAAAGACAATAGAATACTATTACTACTTAATAAACAATACTTGAATTGAATACGAGTAATATTGACTTTAAAATCAAATAACCTTCTTAAAAAAAAGTTCCCTTTCGTTCTTGTTTTTCTTTCCCTAATATCCTTTAATAATATCTTTTCTAATATCATTTCTATTATTATCGGCATTTTAGAAACCACGTTTTTTATTAGTTTCAAGTTTTATAAGGCTTACAATTATTTATTATTTATTTTATTTTATTTTTTTAAATTAACCAAAAATAAAGAAGCAATGAGAAGCAATAATAACAATAATAGCAATGATATCAATAATAGCAATAATGATATTTGCTAAGACTGTTTTCACTTATCGCGAAAGATATTTTCGTTATCATTTAACGTTGTCACGTGAATGAGACAAATCTGTCCCATATGGAAATTATAGGAAATCATACGGTTGTACTATACATAAAAGTTGAAAATCAGGACAGAATTCAGGCAAATTATATAAAAACTGTATAACATTTTATGTGATCAAATTTCAGTTTGAACTTTGCGTTGACTTTCGGGTAAAAAATTATTCATAATAATAAAGATGTGTTAATAAGTGAAAAAGGTTAAGTGTAACTTTCGAATTCAATAAATAGGTATCACGCTATTTAAGAAAAGAAACTTATCTTTCTGTTGGCAAAAGTATTGCGAGTAAATAAAATGACTTTGGACCCAAAAAAACGAATAAACTACTTTTATGACCGTAAGTTTGACTTAACACAAATTCCTATTGTTTGAAAAAAAAGTAATATGTAAAGAAGGTGGTGTATGTTTTTGATATATTGTTGGATATTTTGTTGATATTGGTGTTATGGCGTTTGTTTCCTTTTAACCAATATCAACAATATTAAACCATATCAAAGATTATCAACAGTGGGGAGATATTTTAAATATTTTTTTTGAAAAAAAAAAAAATATTTCGTCAAGAATATTAAGAATATCAAAAAGAATACTAAGTTGGGATGAAATTTTTTTTTTCCTTAGATGTAATTGGCAGTTTCAATCATGGGACTGGTCATCCTATGAAACCTTTGAGAGTAAGGATGACGCATAATCTTGTATTAAAGTATGGATTGTGCAATAAGATGGAAATATTCGTATCCTTTATTAAAAATTTGATGTTATGAGATTGATCTTTGTTGCAAAGATTGCAAAGAATGAAAATTTTTATTTAATGTTATATTTTAATTTCATATTTAATTTTATATTTAATGTCATATTTAATGACGAGTAATCCTTAACATTGTTCTTTTATGTTTAGCGATCCCGACCAAGCACGGTAGGGGAATTAATACAATTCCACACTGACGATTACATTAATTTCTTGGGACGGGTGACGGTAGACAATATGGACACCTGCATAAAAGATTGTATAAAATGTATGTTACATATTTTCAATTTTTTTTAAAAAATATTTATTTCGAAAAATACATATTGTTTTTAATTTCTTGAATTTTCTTTTGATGATGATAATAACAATAATAGTTAACGTGGGGGATGACTGTCCGGCATTTGACGGGCTGTTAGAATATTGTCAACGAGCTACAGGGGGGTCTCTTGGTCAGTAAATATTTTAATTACGTCAATATAGATAATTTGTGCAAGAAATGCAGTTTCTTTGATAATACGCAAATAACATACTTAATAATATATATTAATAACATAACATAATTAATAATACACAAATAATATGCAAATAATAGAAGGAGCAGCCCGACTAAATCATGGTTTATGTGATATAGCCGTGAATTGGGCGGGTGGTTTACATCACGCTAAAAAACAAGAGGCTAGTGGGTTTTGTTATGTAAATGATATTGTGATCGCAATATTAGAATTACTAAGGTAATTTCCGAGATAATTTCTTGCCATTTATTTTTTTTATTCGATTTGATAGATTTGTATTTGTATAATTTTATTATAGAAGTCACCGAAGTTGACGCAGCTTTTAAATTGATGAATAGATATCACTCACGAGTCCTTTATATCGATATTGACATCCATCACGGAGATGGTGTCGAAGAGGCCTTCTACACGACTGACCGAGTTATGACCTTAAGCTTTCATAATTTTGGCGAATTTTTCCCGGGAACGGGAGATATAAATGTATGTCACATTAAGGACATATTATCAGAATGCATTGGGATATAGTAGGATACATTAAGAAAAACATTGGAATATGTGATTAGAATCCTTATTATTAAAATCCATTATTATTATTAGGGTGAAGTTATGGAAATTGACAATGGGTAAAAAAAAGAAATATTCATACTCACTAAATATAATTATACGATTATAGGACATTGGCTTCGGAAAAGGAAAATATTACGCGGTGAATTTTCCTTTGAGAGAAGGTATAGATGACGATATGTACATAAGAGTGTTTGAACCGGTGCGTATATTAATTTATTAATTTAAAATCATTAATTTATTAATATTTGTTAATTCATTAATTTAAATTATTCAGGTTGTAACTCGGGTAATCGAATGGTATCAACCCTCTGTAATCGTTCTACAATGTGGTGCAGATTCATTAAGTGGGGATCGTTTGGGATGTTTTAATCTGTCGTCTCGAGGTAAAATTCTTGGAATTACATAATATTTTGATAAAAAGATTATTATTTCTATTGTTTCATGATAATAATAATATTATTATTATTGTTTTACCAGGTCACGCTCATTGTGTACGATTTGTAAAGAAATTTAATATTCCGATGTTAGTTTTAGGAGGTGGTGGATATACGATAAGTAATGTGTCGAGGTGTTGGGCATATGAAACAGGTGTAATAGTTGGACAAGAAGTTGGGCCAGGTAAATTACTAATATTAAAAAAATTAAAATTTATTAAATATGTTAAATGCGTTAAATATATTAAATATGTTAAATATGTTAAATTGTGTTCATAGAATTACCACAAGATTGTTCAGAATCAGATGGTCGAGATTATTTTGGACCCAGCAGATTATTAGACGTTTTACCAAGTAATATGGAGAATAGAAATTCATGGGAGTACTTGGAGAAGATGATGTTTGTTATATTTTATTTATTTTATTATAGTCTTTATGTTGTCATTCATTTTTATTTTTTTTTGTTCTTTTTCTTTTGCTTATCATATTTCATAAATTGATATATTTACAGGATGCAAATATTCGAAAATTTACAAAGATCAAGACATACACCTAGTGTCCAAATGCAAGGCAAATATCTTATATCATTATTACGTTTTTTATATATTTATATTAAAATTTCATTAATTTAATTAAAAAAAAATGGATGATATTAAATAGATATACCGCAAATTAAATATTCCTTTGAAGATGAAGATGAAGAACTTGATGATCCAGATGAACGAATATCAAGTATGTTAAAGCTGAATTTTCATTTTCTCTTTGTGAGAGTGAGTGAGTGATATTAAGATGTCAAATAATTATTATCCTATGTTATCGTTATCTCACATTATCGCATATAGCGCGGATACAAGACCAAAATATAGTGCCTGATAATGAATATGGCGATAATAGCGATTACGAAGATTATGATGATTACGAAAGATCTACATATAAAATACCGACACCAGCTGGATACGGACCATCTAGATATGTACGAACACATCGATATAAACTGACGGAGGGTAGATCGGAGACAAATAATCATAATGATCTCTACCACGATAGTGACCTCAATAACGACCTCAATAACGATACTAGTAAATATAACGGCACCAATGGAATCAATGGAACTAATGGAATCAATGGAATCAATGGAATCAACGGAACTTCTTCATTATCTGATACATTTTTCAGTACTTCTTCATTATCCGATCCATTTCTCAGTACCTCATCATTATCCGAAACATTTATTAGCAATTCATTAACTGAACCATTTATTAGTAATTCATCATTATCCGATTCATTTAACGTCGCCGACAGCAACAACGACGACAACAACAACAACAACAACAACAACAATAACAACAACAACGATAACAATAACAACGGAACCAACGATACAACATCATTATTGTCAGATCAATATAATGGCGGTACCACCAATGGAACAAACGGATCATTTACCAACGGAACTAATGGCACTATCACATCATTATCGGATTACCGTCTCGATGTGAATGGATTTCTTTCAACGGATTCATCATCGTTAGATGATACAATGTTAAATGATCAAATTTCTTCTTCATCAGACAGTTATTTCGGTGATCACGATGACGATGACGAATTTTTTCAATATACAAATGGAATGAATGGAACAAATAGAACGAATGGAACCAATGCAACGAATGGAAGTATAGATAGCCGTTATGTACAACCAAATTCTAATGGCTGGTCAACGACATAATCGTATATATATATATATATTATATATTTTTATATATATTTCTTTTTATAACTTGTTTTTATATATATATATTTTTTATATATTCTTTTTATATATTTTCTTTTTATATATATTTTCAATTCATTCAAAATCTTTTTAAAATCATAAAATCATGATAATAATCAAAATGCATGTATCGCAAGCATCAAAAATAATAATTTTGGGAATTATCTTTATACGGATATAAAAAGTTTATATATAGAATCACATTTTATAACTAAATTTTCGACTTTTTAATTGTAATAAAATGTTTAAATTCTTAAATTCTTTTTTTTTTTATTTTAAATAAAAAATCCAATCGTCACAAATAACACCAATAACAAATAAATAACTGACAAATAACCGATCAATATAACTTGATTAGGTGTTGATATAATTTTAATTAAATATAAATATAAAAAATATAAGGAATTAAATGTGACAACAAGCAAATAAGTCAAATAAGCAAAACAAGCAAACAATAATAAATCTAAACCAATATCACTCTTCTATCCAACAAACAATAATAATAAATAAATTAACTCCACAATCGAATACAAATGAATTCCCGTATATTGAATAAATAATTTAAATTTTCCTAATTGATAGAAATAAGAAGAAAAAATATAAAATATATTATTATTATTATTATTATATTTGAAATAGATACAGAATATAAAGTGAAGTATATATATTGAATTTCAGAATATTGTGTCAATCCGCATGAAATATACAAGACATATATATATTACTAAGACTGGGGCGACAAATTTATTCATCATTAATTATTATACATATATATTTAATTCCAAATAATTAAAATTACCTCTTTATTTAAATTATTTTTATATTTTAGAGAGAGAGACCGAAAAAAATTTTTTTTATTTTGATTGATCTTAATTACTAAATTAAATAGTCATATGATCTTTCATTAAAACTTTCTTCTATCCTTTCAAAGTAATTTAAATTGAGCCTCGATATAGTAATATTTTGTTTTCATACTAATTTCCAATTCAAATTCATGTAACTACAATAGCATATAATAACGGGTGTACTTGATATCAGACATCTATATAAAGCTATATATAACTATATAAATTTTATTTAATCATTCATGCGTGGAAAGTAAACCTACTATAAAAAGAAAGAAAGTAAATTATTTCCCTTTTCTAGAAAAAAAAATGAAATAGAAAAAATAGACAAAATTAGAAAAGTCATCCACGCTGCGCCAACAGGAATTGAATCTTCTGTTGTTATTATTATTATTATTACATTAATTAATATTTATTTTTTTTCGTGCATAATGGTTCAAATAACCAAAATTGGGTAAAAATTGTCTAAAATTATCTAAAAATGGTTAAAAACAGTCAAAAAAAAAAAGTTTGAAATGATTGGTTTTAAAAAAATAGATCATAATGCGAGTATATTAATATATAATATATGAAGAAGCATATGAAATTGAATGCACCGCATGATTTCATTCTTTAAGTATTTTAAGTAGTAGCAAAACTTATGTAAGGAAACCACCTTTCAAGTACAAACACAAAACGACAATTAATATAATAAATAAATAAATAACATTGGTTTATAATATAAATACAGTAAGTTTCTATGGATACAACCTATATATATATGTATGTATGTATGTATGTATATATTATTTATAATGTAAAGTATATTAAGAACTATTTTCGATTATGTCAATTGTTAAATTTAAATAATTTTTTGAATAGTCTTGTATAATTTTAATTGGTTCAGTCAATATATCTTTAATATCTTTGCAATTTACAATAAATAATAATTTGTAACAATTTAATAATTGTGGTTGAATTAAAAATAATCCGAAATTACTGCGGTTCCTTTTATATTAAACCAGATACTTATTTGGAGTTACTCAATGATCTATAATATCATTTTTCATTTATAAATAATTTTCTACTCCATTATGTTCACATAATATAATATCCTTACTATTATCCATATACACCACAATTGTAGAAATTATCTATGGAAATGTCTAAATAAATAAAATAAATAATAGTAAATAATAGAAGATAATAAGCAAATAATAAGTGGCTGTGTCTTCACATGACAAAAAAACCTACATTTGTTTATTTTTATAATTATTATAAAAAGAATCCATTTTGCTTTTTGTCACCAAAAATTTCACCAACCTTTTCTTTTTTATACGTTTCATAATAAAATAATACTGCATTATTTCGAAAATCTAGGTAGAAATTTTTTTAATAATATTTTTAAATAAATAATATTTTTTTAATAAAATTTTACACAGGTACTTGAAATAAATATATTATATAATATTTTTTTATATATGTATATTTTACATAATAATATTTTATTTCTTGTGTTCAGCTTTTAAAATTCGATACAAACAAACCTGAACATTATTATTCGTACAATTCTGCAATACTTGATACACATCTTAATAAGTTACTTAATATATACTCTTAATATACTTTTTGTTATAATATAACACTTTAAAAAAAAGACTAGTAATTAAAAAGTATATTTAAAGAGTATATTTAATTAATATAATTTAAATTTATCATTAAACACATAAAGAAACCTAAGCGCATTTGGTTTGAAACTATAACTCTATCTGCAACTTTTTGTTTTGCTTTTCCCACTTTCGTCAATCTCTTAGTCATTCCTTTTTTTAATTATTTTTACGATCTTTGTTTTTTTTTTTTTTTTTACATCCTCAATTTATTTCATTTTACTCCACCTATTTTCGATTCTTCCTTTTACCCTCCTCCATTTATCCCATTTATCCCATTTATCCCCATTTATCCTCTCTCCTTTCTTCCCTCTTTATATGTCATATATATATCGATTTATACAACATTGAATCTTGTCACAAAATTATCAGCTATCATTACTGTTTTAGAATATCTACTTGAAAAAGCAGGTTTTTTAACAAATATATATATATACAGTATATATCTTTCTAATATCTATAATATAGTGCGAAAATTTTTTCTCGCCTAAAAAAAAAAAAATATAAATAATCTTTTTAAATTATATTATTTATCAAAAGAAAAAAAAAAATTATTATTATTTATAAAGTACCTTTTTAAAAAAGTAATAATAATAATAATAATAATAATAAAGATAAAATATGGATTCTTCAATTGACCCTACTATCGACATTTCTTCACAACCAAGATATTCCAGTATACCTATGATATCTACTACGACTTTTATAAGTGAAGAAGAACAATTAAACATTCAACAAAGAATAAATAGAGGGTTCACCACGCCAATACATGGTACAACAAGTAAACGTGGTTATAAAAAACCTTCTAAACCTCGAGAGTTTGCAAAGAGTGCTAAAAAGAGACAGTCAGTGATGGCACTTGGTAGTATAACTCACTTGCAACATTACTATGCAAAAAGGGGTATAATTTTTAAACCAAAAAAATCAAAAAAAATGTAATATTCATATTTATTAAAAATTTTTTTTTTTTATTATTAATTTTAATTTATTATTATTATTATAAATAATTTTTATAACTTATTTATTATTTATTATTTATTTATTATTATTATTGTTGTTGTTGTTGTTGTTTTTTTTTAGGGAAGAGGAAGATAAACTTAGTATAATAACAAATTTTTCAGACCTTTTACAAATTACCGAAGAACCGGATGAGGATTTTCCACCTACACCATTACCACCATCTCCACCTCCACTTCCAGATTACATAACCCAAAAATTAGATATTGAGACGGATCCAGATGTTCTTTTAGCTAATTGTCATTCAGATATACAAACCATGTTAGAAGCCTGGAGTATGGTAACAGGAGAAGTGAAAGCAGAAGAAAATCCAGTTCCGGTAGATATATTAGTAGCTATTGAAACCACCACCAAAACTATACAATCAGTAAAGAATTATTCAATGGTTAAAGAAGATTTATCAGATGATTCATTATCAAAAATTCGAGTTGTAACATTGGAAGTTTTAGAAATGATTAGTAATTTAGAAAAAGAACATCGATATGATGATACGGATGATAGTAGTAGTGAAGATGGACATATATATAAAGAATCAAATTATCGATATTTAGATGCGCAACGAGAATCTTTAAGAAAATATTTACAAGTTGTAGAAGATAATTTATTATTTGATGATAAAGAATTATATCAAAATGTTTCATATTTGAGAGTATCAATGGATGAAGATAATAATAATAAAAATAATAATAATAATAATAGAAATGAGAAGAATAATAATAATGATAAAAATGAAAGAGATGAGAGTAGTGAAATTAATGGAGTACCGATAACACCACCATTATCACCAGGATATCCATTATCACCAGGACACCCGAATAGTGATTGGATAAATCCAGAAGTTTTTGGAGATAATTTAATAGGTAGATATCATGCTTTCTTGGAAGCGCATCGACCATCAAAATCCAAACGATCTCCAAATTACACACCACTTCCTAATCCTAATGATGATAAGACTGAATTTTTGGCTGCTTTAGCGTATGTATTTCGTGTGTGAGTGAATGGGTGTGTGGGTGTGTGGGTGTGTGTGTGTGGGTTGTGTGTACATATGACAAGTAATATTAATTATTATTGTTATTATTATTATTATTATTTAATCTTTTTAGTGATGGAAAACTTCTTTGTATCATCTATAATACGGTGATAAGACGTTCAAAACGACCATTTGGATTTATTGATAAAATTCATGAAGATACCACAAGAACTTATCGTGCAACCGAAAATTTAAAATTCTTTGCTGCGTAAGTAAATTAATATAAATCTAATTGACAATAATAAACAATATCTTTATATATTATATATATTCATTTAATATATTTATTATTATTATTATTTCTAGTGCTGTCAAATTTCGATTTGATGTAAAATTTGATGAATTTAATGCATCAGAAATGTTTAAATTAACAACTACTGGCAAAATTCAGGTATGTTATATGTATACAATTAATCCATATTATATATGTATTATTTTACATAATGTTATCTCATATATTCTCTTCTCTTCTATCTTTCATATATATAGTTAGAAAAAATTCTTGGAATATTTTGTGAAAAAGCTATGGAAGAACTCATATCAACAGGATCATACAAACAACATCCATTATCACGAGTTTCATCAATGTATTTGCAAGAATCATTTTCAAATTCACAAATACAACTTTTACAACAAGCTACTAATTCGGCAAAATTAAAGAATTTAGATACGAAGATGAGTTATAGACAATCTTGGGGATCATCGGATTCAAATTATTAAAAAAAAATAAAATTTCGTTTTCTTCTTTTTTCTTCTTCCACTACTACCATTAAAAAAATCATCAACATTTATCATCGCCATTATCATTATAATAAATATTCGTTCCATCATAAAAAAATTTATATTAGAGAGAAGAATTTATTTTTGGGAAAAAAAAGATAAACTTATTATTATTATTTGCATATATAATATGTATTATCTACATTTTTAAAACATTTTAAATAATTTAATTTTTTTTTTTTATGATGGCTCGCTGGACGATCAAAAAAAAAAATATATATACCTTATTAGTTTATTTCTTTTATTATTTCAATTCTTTTGTTTATTTCGATTCTTTTATTATTTTATTTCTATTATTAGTTATTATTAGTTAACACAAAATTTATAGAATATAAAGTCATGTTTCTTTTTCCTTTATTATTATTTTATTATTATTATTTAAATTTATTATTATTATTATTATATTACATAACATGATCTTTTTTAAATTTTGTGTATTTGTATAGCTTTTATTTTTTTCCAATTACAGTAAATATTATTATTAATATTATTATTATAATTATTAATTTATTATTATAATTATAATTATGATAATTATTAATTTATTATTATAATTATAATTATGATAATTATTTTATATCGTTATTTCAACAATAAACCATAAAGCAACGATAATAAACAATTACCAAATAATAATTAATTCTTTATTATTATTATTTTTTTTCAAACATAATACAATTCTGATGCAATATTTAAAATTACCAAACGTAAGAAAATTTTATTATACCAAATGAAGACTCAACGGATTTAATTTATAAAATTGTATTATTTATACATTTTTAGAGTAACCACCCCCCTGTCACGAGAATATGCATGTATTTATGAGAAATATATTTTTTATATATATTATTACATTAATGAATTACAGTTGAATGAGATATGGAAATATTTTCTAATCTTTGATATTCAAGAATAACATCAGGGTCTGTGATAAATGCTGATCGGTCAAGATGAGATATTTGAATATTTTTCCAGTTTGGACATCTACTAAAAGTAATATATGCTTGTCCAGATGAAAAAATATTTCCATCTAATGCAAGACATACTTTTGGTAAAGTAAGACCTTGTATACAGTTGAGGCAAAGCAATTTTGTATAGGAAATTGGATTCTGTGACAATTACATCCATCAATTTCAAAATAATGAGTATGCCTATAAACCTGAATATCTATTATTGATCCTTTAACTGAAAATGCTACCTTAACAAATTAATCTATAAGATTAATATCTGTAATAATTTATATTGTTCCATTACAAATACCATGTTCTATTAAAGAATTGCTGAGGTATATAACACATGCACTAGGTTGTAAATGAATAGAAGATAAATTTGTTTTTGATTTGAAAATTTGTTCAGAATCATAATACAGATTAAAAACTTAAAAATAAGTCAAAAATCAGATTACTGATCCTTAATTAAATCATGACAATTTAATACTTTTTTAATCTGATTTACTAATTTTCTTATTGCCAATTAATGGCATAATTTGTAAAAAGAATAGTAGCAAATTGACTTAAAAAATTAGTTAAAATTGAATTGTCAATTCTTAATTAAATTATGTCAATTTAATATTTTTTTAATTCAATTTAATACTTTTTTAATCTGATTTATTAATTTTTTTATTGTCAATTAATGACATGAATATTAACAAATTGGCTTAAAAATTAGTTAAAAATTGAATTGTTGATTTTTAATTAAACTATACTAATTTAATATTTTTTTAATCTAATTTATTAATTTTTTATTATCAACTAATGACATATTTTAAAAAAAGAATATAACAAATTGAATAATATATATACACTTATTTAACATATATTATATAACTAAAATAAATTCAAACTATTACAAAGAAAAGAAAGTATATTTATTTTACTTTATAAATGAGAAAAAATAAGTAACTTGTTTTTTTATACTTAACACTTTTGCAAACCTAACATGCTTATCAGGAAATTTTTGGAGGTGAATATATCCAGATATATTTGACCACTCCCATATTTATCTGCATAAATTGTATTAATTCACATTAATTCATATTAATTCATATATTACATCAAATATATTCACATATGTTCAGTTTTTATTAATTGCAAATATATCTGCATATATTTGCAAGTGAAAATTTCCTGATGCTATAAGAACAACATTCCTGATTCCAATTCTGAAAGAGAAGTTAAGTGTTTACTTGTATCAGAAATTTTATAAAAACATTCTAGTATGTTATAAGTATGGAATATTCAAATAATGCACTAAAACATTGTATTCAGTATACTATAAGTATGAATGTTCAAATAACATATTAGAACATTGCATTCTAGTATGTTATAAGTATGAACCATTTAAATAATACATTAAAATACTATATTTTAGCATGCTATAAGTACGAAACATTTAAATAATACATTAGAATTAAAGCTCTCAACGGTTCGGTTCAGTTCGGTTTAGCACTCAAACTGAAATTGAATCAAAACTGAATCAGATTAAATCGAACCGAACTGGTTATTTTCGGTTTAAATATGATCACCACTGGTGAGGCAAAAATTTATACAAGTTTTTTTATGTTTTTTCAATTTTGCTTGCGATTTACTAGTACAGAGCTAAGATATTTCTAAAATAGAAAAAAAGACCTTATTCTTAGCTACGAAATGATATAATTTTCATGAAGTTATCTCTAGTTTAAAGAAAAAATGTCTATGAAAATCGTGTGAAAAATTTTTATCCAATTTTTCACAAACGTTTTTTTAAACTTTAATGACTTTGCGAATATTGATGCTATCGGGATTAAAGCTCCCCATAGGCCGAGCCCGGTTGAGCTCTATAGGGCTCGAGCCCGATCAAGCTCAAAAAACTTGAGCTTGGCTCGAGTCTAAATTTAAAAGTTGGGCTCAGGCCAAGCTGAGCCCATATAATTTGAGCTTGGCTTGGCTCTCGAGCCTATATGGGCTCGTGAGCCTTGATATGAGCTCGTAAGCTTTAATATGAATTCACAACTCCTCATGTAAACTTATAAAAAAATATTATTTCAATAATAATATTTATTAAATTATGTAGAGCGATTTTCTACTAAGGTGTTTCTAAGATAGAAAGAAAGATCTTGTTCTTGGTTACAAATAATATATATTTCATCCCAGTAGTATCGATATTCGTGAAGTTATTCGAGTTTAAAGGAAAGTGTCTGTGAAAAAATCGTGCAAAAAATTTGTACTAGATTTTTGTACGATTTTTTTATAGACGTTTTTTTTTAAACTGAAATAACTCCGCGAATATCGATGCTACTGGGATGAAACACATATTATTTTGTAGCTAAGAACAAGGCCTTTCTTTCTATCTTAGAAATATCATAGTAGAAAATCACTCTACGATTCCAAAATCGCGAGCGAAATCGAAAAAAATATAAAAAAAATGAAATTTTTACTTTTTTTTTTACATTTTTTTTTGTTTTTTCAATTCACTCGCGATTTACGAAACGTAAAGCGATTTTCTACTAAGATATTTCTAAGATATAAAGAACCGCCTTGTCCTTGGCTACAAAATGACATGTGTTTCATCCCAACAGCATCGAAATTAGTGGAGTTATACTAGTTTAAAAAACGTTCATAAAAAAATCGTGCAAAACTTTTTGGAAAATTTCACCCGATTTTCACGGACGTTTTTTTTTTAAACTAGAATAACTCCGCGAATATCGAAGCTATCAGGATGAATCACATATCACTTTGTAGAAAAGAACAAGGCGGTTCTTTCTATCTTAGAAATATCTTAGTAGAAAATCGCTCTACGCTTCGTAAATCGCGAGTGAATTAAAAAAAATAAAATGTAAAAAAAAGTGAAAATTTCACTTTTTTTTTTACGTTTTTTCGATTTCGCTCGCGATTTTCGAATCGTAGAATGATTTTCTACTAAAATATTTCTAAGATAGAAAGAAAGGCCTTGTTCTCAGCTACAAAATGATATGTGTTTCATCCCGGTAGCATCAATATTCGCGGAGTTATTCTAGTTTAAAGAAAAACGTCCGTAAAAAAAATCTGTCACAATTTAAACTAGAATATCTCCGTGAATATCGATGCTACCGAGATTAAACGTATATCATTTTGTAGCCAAGAACAAGACATTTCTTTTTATCTTAGGAATATCTTAGTAGAAAATTGCTATACACTTTATAAATCACGAGCGAATTTGAAAAAACATGCCTATTAAAATTTATTGATGCCATATAGGCTCATGAGTTTTATAAACAGGCTTACAAGTCCCTAAGGCTCATGGGGAGCTTTAGATATAAGTTCTCAAGCTTTAATATGAACTCACAAACTTTAGTAAAAGCTCTTGAGCCTTGATGTAAACTCATGAGCTTTAATGTAAATTTACAAATTTTAATATATTTAATTAACACAAATTTCTTTATGAATATTCATTAAAATTTATATTTCAATAATGGAACACCTAAAATTAAAAACTCAAACATAAAATCAAAGAATTAAATTTTTTATTATAATTTTTGAAAATTAATAAAATGTATTATATTTAATATTATAATAGTCATTTTTATATATTTGAAAAAAATTAAAACTAATTTTCTAAATTTTCTATATTAATTTCTCCAAGACCAGATTTTAACCAACTTTTGAGACACATTGCTTCATGAATTGTTTCTCCTTTTAAACTACATCTTCTTTGAGCAACCAAATCTGTTCCTCCAGAAAAAATTCTTTCAACAGGTGCACTTGTAGCAGGAATAGCTAAATAATCTTTAGCCATTTTACTAAGATAAGAAAATCGATTTTCTTGAGTCTAGAATAATAATATAAAATTAGCAAAAAAGAATATACAGTATTATATAAATTTAATTAATGGTTAATTTAATAAACATACCTTCCACCATTGTAATATATCTGTTGTAAAATCTATAACTTCTTCTTTCAAAAATGTTTTTAATTCATCACTAG